TTGTTCCTAAATTTCACCTGAAAACGAATTACCTATGAACAGTAGCGTTATGATGGTACAGCGACAGAAAAGTTGTCGGGATGAGAGGACAGTCCGATCGCTGCCCTTTCTAGAATGCACAGCCCTGCGAATAAAGATACTTGGATTGGAAAGCGAAAACGTTGCAGAAAAGGTTTGTCCATGCATCTCGCCTGAAAACTAATTAATGTGCTATCTATTGAACGGTGGTGTGCCAGCATTGGAGTAGCACATTTACAGGTTTCGTTTCGCGCTGCAAGAAGGAAACCCAAGATATCTGACAATTTTAAGAGTTCCTTGTTTTGACATGCGAGTTCAAGAATGTTGTCTTTCATTGGAATCTAGCCAGCATGCATGGTCAATAAATAGATCGGTCAAAGTAACATTCAGCAATATTTGGTCGAAGCGAGTCTTCAAACCTTTCAGAAATATTAAAACATTCGTGAAAACTTCCTAACGTCGCCGCGCATTTTTTTGTGCTTTTACTTTGCCGTTTTACAGAGCCCTTAATTAATTTATATTCAAAATAATTTTGGCATCCGCGAGATGCTAGGTTCGCCATAAACATGCGGTCGGAAGTGGCTCATACAGCTCGCCGACAGTTTCGGTGTGTTGCGCTACTGTACACTATGCTTCGTTTAGTTGCTGCGCTCGGAGTGTAAAACTCGGAACGGTGGAGTACGAGTAAATTAGCGCGGACATAAGGCACAGGAGCAATGGCGGCTTGTAGGGTGCCATATGATGTCGCGTGCAAGGCAGTTAAGTCCACACGTTCAACTGAAGTGTTAGTCAGCCCATGCATTCATCTGCCTAGCTTGGTGCTCCATATAAGCACAGTCTACAATATTCACTTTTAATTACAGTCGCAATAAAAAAGAAAGAAAACGGCGATTGCTTGTGGCTACGTCGCACTTTGGGATGGTAAAAAATACACACTCACCCGTCACTTTGAGGATCTCGGCGTCGTAATAGCCTCCTCGAGTGTTCGCGTCGCCTTCCCAAGACACCTTGTACGCCGTCCTACGCTAGAAGTCGGCCACATTCGAAGGATTGCATTTTTTTTTAAGTAAAACCCTGTGGACGCCGCTGATATTTCAGTTCTCGCAAAATCGAGTGGAACCTACCTAAATATCTAAAACCTCGAAAACACTCCACGAGGAAGGGTGAAGCTGCCGAGGCAACAAAGCGCACGAAACAACTGGATTTGGATTAGAAGCATTTGAAGATGCAGTTGCTCGAACGGATATAAGCGGCGAACGTTTTTCAAAATGTAAAGTATATATTAAAATTAACGGATCGTCGAGTGTCGTACACTGCGTATAAACTTGAATGAAAACATTTTTGACAGAAATCTCTCAAGTGTCAACACTGCGTGTAAAGGAACTGGCGCCGGCAGCAGCCGATGCGTCGGCAATAGGCGATACGTTTAAGACTAAGTCATAGTTTACCCAGCCAACGGCAGTCTTCCGACGGCGGCGGAGGGCTAACGCGTCGACCTGCGGAACGAGAGGTCTCCGGTTCGACGCCCCCCGGGAGGCGGAGAGGAGCTGATTTTTTTTTTTTTTTTTGGTTTGTTTTTTTATTTTTATTATATCTGGTGGTGGTGGTGAAAACTTCAATTCAGTCTACAACCCCTGCGACGCTCCTTCGTTAACGACCGCACTGGTCCAAAAGGGTTCTGGTGCAGCTGAATACTGAATAAAGCGGGTTTTTGTACGTTTTGTGACTCGACGTGTTTTCGGTCAAGAACTTTGAAGGTCGTCTGAACGACGAGACATAAAAGGCTTTTCCTTAATAAAAAAAATCACATCAACCCATTGACCACGCGGCTGCGGCACATCATATATCATACGCGAGAGTCAACAACAGCTTTTTTTTTTTCGCGACGTACCCTCAAATCGAATATTTTGTAGCGTGAAAAGTTACGGAGCCTCCTCGACTTTGGGCTGCTTATTCAGCGAGGCGGTGGCGCATTCCCCCGACTATTTAACCTTCGACCAAAGTAAAGCAAAGCAATGGCACCGCGGTCTGTTTGGAAGTTGAACTTAATTGCCGCCGGGACCGTCCCATGCGCACAACGGTCGCGGGGCTCGGGGGGTGCCGTCTCTATCAAAAATGTGTCGACGAAAAGTCTGTCGAACTTCCGTTGGTAATGAAAGGCGTAGATGAAGCATATGCGAAACGGGGGACCCTACCGTAAGTACGGGTTTCCACGGTGCGTGATTGCAGACGAACGCACAGTTGCCGGTGAATCGGGGACTCGGTGAGTAAAGACAAATCGCGTGACATAGTTGTGTCAGCACCTCGCGAGCCCGCGACTGATCACATGCTGGCAAATATGTCGCGACCCATATATCGATTGTTATTAAACGCCTCTGACGGCGCCGTCAGAATACCGCGAGCAGCAATTAATCAAGCACTTTTGATAAACATTGTGCGCAAAGAAAGTCCCGGCGGCCGGGAAATGAGACGTTTTTGATGGACCCGAAGTGAAACATAAAACCTCTGACGACCATTAGGCCACCTCTGACGGCCCATCAAGAGTGTCCAACAGACCATTAGGCGCCGTCAGGAACTTCCGACGGACCATCTAGACGCATCTGATGGTCCATCAGGACAGTCGGATGGTCCGTCAGGAATGGGCTGATTCTCCGTCAGGAATGGGCTGATGGTCCATCACACTTTCTTGATGGTCCATCAGGAAGCCTGATGGGCCATCAAAGAAGTCTAATGGTCCATCAAGAAAGTCATATGGTCCATCAGGAATGGGCTGATGGTCCGTCAGGAGTGGGCTGATGGTCCATCAAACTTCTTTGATGGTCTATCAGGAAACCTGATGAACCGTCAGAAAAGCCTGATGGACCATCAAGAAACTCTGATGGTTCATCACTAAAACCATCGAAAGACCAATAGAAAACCTGATGGTCTTTTCGATTGGGCGGTATGTGTAGAGCTACTTGACTTGTGTACAGACAGTGGCTTTGCGGTGTAAAACAGACCCAATTGGGAACTTTAATGCAATATTTTGCAGTCCCATTGATGTCATGATTATGATTACACAACTTTTTATGGTGCAAAAAAAAAAAACGCGATGTAATCGGTTTTTTAGACTGCCTGTACGACCTTCAAGCTTGTCAAATTTGTACGTTCTGTGCGGTGAAATGCCCTGTACATTGCAAAATTAGAGAATCCTTGAGCTATATTCTGCAAGGAGTGAAAACAGCAGTCCAGCCGCATTCTCCCCTCTTCTGTATGCTGTGCAAATGCAGACGGACGCGCACTTTGGATGCTTTGCACTTAAAAGCCCCACATAAAGCACATCGCTTAATAAGTATCAATTATTTACATTGTTCGCGGATTTCACTTTTAAATGTCATGCACATAGGAAGCACAACGATGGTTTAAAGTATGCCGAAATTCTAGTAACCGCGTGTCCAAAATGCAACGCGCGGTTACTCCGACGGCGACGGCGACGCAGCTCAAGCCCGAAACGGGCGCCTAAGAGCTGCGTTCTATAAAAAGAATAGTTTAGCCATGGAAGAAAACTTGATTCGTGCATTTTTTTCAAGTATTCCACATCCAAATAGCGCGACAAAACTTGGCAAGACATTCTTGTTTGTTTAATTGCTTAAGAAGAAAAAAAAAATATTGATATTCAGAAACCTCGAGACGAGGAACAGAAGGGACAAAGACAATACCGTCTCTTAACCTGCAAAGAAATGACTTAATTAAGGACAAGCTTCTGTCTTGTTCTTTAAAACAGATTCCCACGTTATCTCCAGCTCTAAATTGTTGAAGTCTTAAGCATTTAACCACAGATTATAAGGCAGTCTGAAAAGTTCGGTGCACACCAACAATAGACCGATCTCACCAGCCTGTTTGGTTTTGCCAAGGCTGCCGCAATACACCGAGGGAACCTATTTTTTCACACGTGCGACAACCTTGCTCTAACTCTGCGCGTGGCTCCTCTGAACTAAAGCTATGACGGCTTCACGCATGCGCCAACGCTTAGTGAGATTGGTCTATAATAAAAGGTAAAATGATGACTCCCAGAAGCGACGGTGTGGGAAGCTGGATTACAAAAAAAAAAAGCAAACGCCACACTACTACGGGACAGTGGGGGACTAGAAAGACAAAAACACTGGTGTGTTGGAGGGATAAGACACCGTGAAAGACACCAGTGCCTTCCTAGGGTGCCTCAATGTCCTTCTGTTTAGAGTGATGCCACTCTTTGTAGTGCCCGATGCCGACAGCACGCGCTCACGGGGAAAATACAAAGAAATCAACGAAAACAAAATGTCGCCGTAGCACAGTCAGCGCCACGCACGCGTGCAGGGACACGCCTTTTCACGCGCTTTTGAACAAAAAAATAAAAACAAAAGCGGGGAACAAAGCGGCGAGATGTCTCCACCCGTGGGAGAAAGAAGAACCACCGATGTGATCGGACGTGTTTTCTTAAAGGGGCACTCAAGTGCTTTTTGGAGAAGTTTGTTTTTGAAAGCATATTGTTTGTTGGGCTTCAGTCAATGAAAATGACCAGTCATAGACGGCAAGACACCGAAATAAACTCGCAGCAAAAGAAATACGCAGGCACTATTTCCTCTTGGGGAGTCCATCCTGTGTCCCCACCACCGCCATAAAATTCAACCAATAAAAATTGTCAATTTCGTGGAGATTCCGAAAGTTACTAATATTGCTCTTTTTAGACACATGCACATTATCTTTTGACAACCACGTCAAATCGTAGGGTGTAGGTGACGTAATGCAGCTATTATTGATTGAAAACGAGCGAACTATGTTTTCTCCTTGCCTTGTTGCGCGGGAGTGATGTGCCCGCGCGGCGACGCGGCCACGCGGCTGCGTCGCTCCGTCGTCTGCCGGGTTTCTTCCCTATGCTCCCACTTCATCCCGTTCTCGAAGCAAGGTTCGCGAGGACGCGAATGGTTACGTTGCACCGGGAAAGAAAACGACCGCCGAGGACCTCCTCCACATTCCTCGTTTCCGTGCGGACACCTTCGAGGCGTTCGCCAGCGGTGACCGTAGTCTGCTGTACCGACGCTTCTGCTTCCCGTCGCCGACGGGACCGAGCGAGGGACCCGCGAAAAAGTCCTGGTAAGTGTTTGGTGATTTTTGTGAGTCTCAACGTCGCATTGTGCAGCAGTCTGCGTGACATACGTATTCGAAGGGTGTTTTGTAGAAGAGAACCGTGTTTTTCTATCCGCGTAAATAAGCTACGCATCGTAGAAAGCTGAATATCGCTGAGACACTAGTGATGGCGACAGAATGCGAAAGTTTGCGAGCATGACGTTACCTGAATCAAAAGTATACTAATACTTTATTTTTACTCAGTGTGGGAGGATTACCCACGCGTACAGGGTCACAAAAGGCTATGCTGCCCATACCGGAATGGAGCCGATGTCCACCTAAGCCTAAGAACTCCACGATTTTTATTTTTATTTTTTCTTCTAGGACCTAGGTTTTCTCCCTTTTACCACAGACTCGGGTAATTTTGAACATGATCAGCATCTACCAGCTCGCCTGCACACTCATTGTTGTCGTTTCTGCGGTGCAGTTTATTTGCTTGGATCAGAATGGCACGGCCGTTTTCTCAAACAGCTGCCACATCTCGTAAGCAATCCCGGCCTGCCGGTTCGAGCTTCATAACTGAGAACACGCTTCGTTCGAGAGCTTAGAGCCTGTATGCGCAGCCAAAGGGCGGCGAAACGAGCGAATGTGCCTGTGCCTGTGCTTGTCGTGCGAGTTCCCAGGAGTGGCTCGCGCATTGAACGGCCAGTGCGCGAGCCACACGGGACGAGCGCAGCGCTCGTCCCGTGCGGTTCTTTAACGTCCTCGTCTGTTTTTGCTGTTCCCTACGATGAATTCCCACCAAATCGCCCGACTCTCCATTCTTCTAAGTGTTAGAAACCAGGCATTGTGAAAAACATTGTAGTATAAACGTGCTATTTGCAGGTCCTAGTCTCAGCAGCTGGACTGCTGCATCCTGCAAGGCAGAAAGGATCCTGAGGGACTGCACTGTCGAGATGAATCTCCCTGGTCGTGGAGGAGCCAGTACCGTTGGATACTTTCGACTCTGCCGTCCCCTACTGCAGCAGCGAGGTGCCATACAACTGCATATTTCCTGCTCCCAGCAGCACGCCAGACTCTGAGGCGACATACTCTCCATCCAACCCTGCCAAAGGTTTCGAGAGGTAAGCTATGCGTATGTGCGCCTAGAACTTAGAAGTTTGTCTGATCTTTGCACGCCTTGTGCATTTGTTTACCCTCCCTCCGCATGCGTCCACATGCTTGTGCCCGCTTTAATTTTGCCCAGTGACAGTGCTTGCTTGCTTGCTTCGTCATCGTGTGTTCCTCATGCCTTTTATGCTATCCGTTGCTTGTGTGCCCCTCCTTGTGTTCCGATGCGCCACAGACGAGTATTGAAATACATGCTCTCCGCATATTTTTTTATGTCCCTCGCACGTAATACTGCATTGACTTTTCTTTTCATGTGCTGCCACAGACATCCTGAAGAGGCTACACCTTGGCAAAGCAGCTCTCCTGTTGGTCTTTAATAAATGGGGCTTTCATCGAGGAGGTAGACTGGAACTGTATAAACCAAACCCAGGCAACTGTGCATGACAGCACAAACATTTAGCACAAGTTCGATGCCATTCAGACTTACAGAGCTAAACATATTTTCCAGTCTACACTACGGTTTCCCCTCCCATCTGCAACATTGTCTCCTCTCGATGATTCAGTGGTTCATGCCTTGCTAACCTTTGAGGAAACAAATGAAAATAGTTTTAGCCAAAGCCGAATGATTATGCAGAGGTTTGTTCGGAGAGTAGAACTTTTGCCAAGCACCAAGAAGCATGCTGGAAGTGCATTTACGCACGGCATCTACAAGAGTAACTGTTGCAGATGCCAAGACATGCGCACTCAGCATTTGCCTATGTCCCCACCATTCTCTTTTGTGCCTTGGCAAAAAGGTTTGATTTCAACCACTGAAAGGAATGTCAGTTATTCATTTACTGGGTAACTCGTATGTGCCTTGAAGGAGCAAAAACAAACCTTGTTCCTAAACAGCGTAGTGTATGAGCCTTCCCAGCCAATGTGGCTCTGCGAACCTCACAACAGACTAGTATCGAAAAGTGTGAACTCGGAGTTTATGTTTTAATAAACAGTACCACGTGACTTGCGGCGAGCTGCTCTGTCGGTTATGTTGTCAGTAAAACACCCGGATTCAAAGGGTTGCGTTGTTCTGCTCTTAGGGGCTACATAGTGCTGTGATCGCTACTACCCAACCTTGGTGTCACACCACTTCTGCAAAAAGTCACTGTAAAATTGCCAGTAATTGCCGCCTATACAATTGCTCATGTTGTTGTGGATGCTCCACACTTGCGCACAATGCAGTAAGTACCCTTTTTTTCTCGTTGCTACATATCAATCGCAGCGAATAACGAAACAATTAGGATTTTTTCTGACACGGGGGACGAGCAAAAACACCATAACGGTGAAGTCAAGTGAATGCAGATCGAATGCCGTGCCAGCTTACCGCGTGCATTGGTTTGCAACCTTGAGAACAGCCACTGAGACTAGTACTTTGTTTCTATAACACCCTTGTTTCCGCGGCCAATTTTCACACAGCAACATAGCAAAGGGCGAAAGTTTGTGCTTGAACGTTCTCATACAGCTAGCTTCGTCATGTATTGTGTTAGCCCAATTGGAAATATCGATTGGCGAAGCAAGTGCTATAAAATGTCTCAGTGGATGTTTTCGAGGCGGCAAACAAATGCACGCAGCGAGCTGGCATGGCATTCGGTGTATGTCGCTCTACGTTCACTTCAGTTCGCCGTTGGAATGTTCTCGCTCAAAACCCGTGCCAGCAAAATAAATTGTTTCATTATTTGCTGTGTCAGATTTGTAGCAACAAGAAGAAAAGGGCACTTAGTACTTCGTTCACAAGTGTGGAGCAATCCACGACGACATAATGGCAATGTGGAGATGATAGCAGACGACAGATTCACAACCCGGTGAAACCAAAACTACTTATTGACAGTCTCCTGCTCCCAGAGTGCACCTGAACCGCTAGGGGCACTGCTATTTTACTTATTGCCCATTGGCTCCAATAGCTCATAGCGTTTGCTGCAGTCAGTTGTAAGGTGAAACGGAGTATGGAAATATTTGCACGGAAGCGCCACGAAGATGGCAGCCAACAAAACCCCGAGTGTTCTTGGTGAGAAGTTATGCAAATCGATTACAACTTTGAAGTGGGCAATAGTAAGTTGTCACTTGGTTCTCACGGCTAACAATACATTTGTGTGAAGACCGACCGTTGGACGATGCAATGTTTACTTTTGTGGTGAGAAAAACATGGTTCTATACCCAGTATAAGAAAAACACTTTTATTCAGTCGCACAATCAGGGCACAGGAGCCCGGAAAATGTGTCGCTGGCGGTCAGTCCCCCATTGTTTTCACAATGCAGGAGGCAAGTGGTCGCCTGTTGCTCTGCCCCAGTTGCAGTCACAACCATAGCATCCACTGCCTATAGGCAGCGTACCAGAAGCACCTGAAACAATATCCATTGACTGAATGTAAGAAAAAAACACCACTTTAATTAACCACATAAACTGAAGCAATGGCCACACTGATCAGATCAGATTATAAGAAGCAATACTCTATACTCTCAAGTGTACACGTCTTGTGTTCGTTTCCCTGGGAAATTAATAATATATTATGCTGCTTTTATGTTCCCTTTCGCTGTGCATGTGATGCATCTGCCAACGAACAGCTAGTCTTCACAGCAAACTATAAACACTGCAGAGAAGTGAGCTTGTACTGTATGCCAAGCACAGCACAAATGTCGAGACAACCTTGCTCCGGAAATATGATCCACCATGAGCTCTGTAAGAAAGCGTAATCTGGTAAGGACGGCAAGAAGGCGATACCAGATTTTTTGCGAAAGAAGCTTCTGTAAAGGGAACAATTCAACCAATTTCGTGAAGTGATCAGTCACGACAGGAAGATACTGATTACTGTACGGATTATGAGGAAATAATCCCATTACAAGTCGCAGGAAACAATCTGCCAAGGAGAGTGGTTTACGATTGGTTGCATAAATCCTGGTAGGAGACCTTCGTGTGGCTTTGACTTCTGACATCCTGGGCAAGTGTGGGCATACTTCGTATATCCTGAATGATTCCTGATCAAGTCTCGACATGACGTAACTTATTGCAAGTAATACTGCTGCTGCTGTGGCCTGATGAGGCTGAATCATGGAAGTGACTGATGAACGGCGTTCGAAGTTTCACAATCCTGAAAGGTGAGCCATGGGCGGCATCGTCTGCTTGAAAAATGTAGCTGAGAAGAAGTCCATTCTCTCTCAGCAAATATGAGTCGTACCAATCGTTGCTCTAGGTGCGGCCTACCCTTTGTTCTGCAAGCTTCTCGCACACCTGTAGACGGAGCTCCCCAACATCAGTCGGCCACAATGCCAGTTATTCGCACCAATGCATCTTCGTCCTGAGTGGGAAGGACCTGCAAAGGACCATACGAGATTACGTCTGCCGCAACAAAACTCCCTTCTTTTATGTAGTGGCTTAGTGGTATGCCTGCAATGTCGGAGCTCATTGTGCAAGACATCCGACTGGATTCCGCAAATCATTCGGCCAGGAGAACACTTGATTGGTCTGGATTTGAAAGTATGTGCCATTGAAATACATGTTAAATTTTTTTAGGGCAAAAATAATGGCGAGACACTTTTTTTCCATTGCATAATAGTAGTGTTTGGCCGCTGTCGGCATGTGGCTGGTGAAGGTAACTGGCCAAAGAACACCGTTGTGTTCCTGAAGCAGGACAGCACCAAGGCCAGAGTCGCTGGCAGCAGTTTGATCAACGAACGGGTTAAAAAGACCCGGAAACTAACGAAGCAAAGTCAATGATTCCCCTCGAGAGCCGAGGGAAAGCGTCTTGTTGCTTTTGTCTCCAATGCCAATCTTCTCTTTTGCACAAAAGCAAATACAAAGGTTTAGTTATCTTGGAGCTGTGTGGGACGAGTTGGCAATAACATCCAATCAATTCTAGAAAGCATTGCAAGCTCTTGACGTCTTGCGGCTGCGGGCAATCGGTTATCGCGCGTATCTTGTCCCGATTGGGGTGAAAAACTCGAGTTAACAGCAAAGCCAAGAAGGTTCATTTTCTTTTCAGGGTGAACTGTCAAGTTGGCATATTGCATTTGCTCGCGGGCAATCCTAAAATGTTCGCGGTATTTCTTGAAAGATTGGGGAAAATGACGCCCTTCATGTACGCCATCACAAACTTGCTCTTTGCATCATCGACACCAATGTCCATTCGATGTTGAAAGGTATCCGGCAAATTTGAAAGGCTCGAACACTCCCCTGTGACAGGTGAAAGCGGTTGTCGAAACCTCCTCTGGGTCTATCTCGATTATCCTAGACTGCAGTCAAGCATTGTGAACATTTTTGTGTTGTCGATCGCGTACATGATTGAGTCGATCAAGGGAAACTGGTATGAATCTCTCGCCGTTACAGCGTTGGGGCTGCGACGGGAGAAGCCCAACGACTCTGGGAGTTGCAAACAGCTCCGGTGTCGATCCACTCCTGTAGTGCTGCATTCAGGAGAGCTCGTACATAGACGATGAGGGGCTTTGGGTTGCACCGCAGTTGGTCGAGCGTCGCCAGTCTCGATTCGATGCAGCAGCACATCAGTCTTACCCGCAACTCCCGTGTAGTACTTTGGTGGAAATGGCTGCAACATACTCTCTAGCTGCTACTTTTGTTTCCTGGACCCACCTACAGGGTGTCTCAGACACCGGCAGGAAAGGCTGCAGCAAGCCTTGTTGTACAGAGAGCCGGGAGAGCTGCGCCGGTAATGCAATCCTCTCGCCTCGTGAAAGGGGTAACATCGAGCTGAACGTCCATCCGGCTAATAGCCGCCAACATCAAAGTCGAGCAAAAGTTTTTCGCCTGCAATAAAATCTACACCAAAAGGTAATTGGCATGTTCAATCCTGGCAGTTAAAGAAAATGCTAGCGTGCCTCTTCGTCGAACAGAATGCCGAGCATTGCAGCGCACTGCAGAAGTGTATTTTAGGAACAAAGCGATTCTTTTTTTGTTTTGCACAGCTCAAAAAAGTCTCCAATAAACAAACTATCTGCTCCATTATCAAGAAGGGCGGCAAAGGGAACAGCAAGTAGACAAAGTGTCATGTAAGGCTCGATGTACTGATATGTAGGTCGTATGCGACACAGACGAGAGAAGTGCTGGCGACTCGCTCATCCTGAGGCTGGAACTCGCTGCTGCCAGCTTGGGCCGGCGGCAGCGAGATCTCCAAGTTCAGCGTCGCAAGCCCTGTTGGTTTCCCTGGTTCCTCTGGCCCCGGCACCACCAGTGCAGGCATTGGCTGCGAGAATGGCCACGCTGTCCGTAGTTCTAGCAGGAACTGGGCCGCCAACGGTCTTCTGCCGCTCTATTTCCCATGTTATACCAGTCTCTCAAACACTGGCCGCTGCCTCTCAACTCCACTAGTTCATTCCCTCATTGCCAGCCACCCCTTGGCCCAAGCTTGGGCATTTGTTGGCCGTTCAATGATCTCGAACACGGTTAGGCAGCCGGCCTTCGCCGTAGGGAAACTGCAGCCAGCCGCTTGAGAAGGTCTGCAGCATCTGCGGCAAAATTTCGCTCTGGTGCGGGCTTTCGGGGGTAGGGGGAGCA